TGGCCAATTTTTTTTTTTTACTTTTAAAACCATTTTTTCTACCTCTTCGGCAAAGAGGTTGTAAAAAAATGCTTTCAAAAGGTGCTGACGATCCCAGCTGAGTTGCCTGATCGGCAGAGGTTTTTTTTCTTTTAAAAGCTTCTGTCGATCAGGCAACTCAGCTGGGATTATCAGAGGCTTTTAAAAGAAAAAAAGCCTCTGCCGATCAGGCAACTCAGCTTGGATCGTCAGAGGCATTTAAAAGAAAAAAAGCCTCTGCTGTTCAGGCAACTCAGCTTGGATTGTCAGAGGCTCTTAAAAGCATTTTTTCAGTGGAAGAGGTTGTAGAAAAAATGCTTTTAAAAACTTTAAAAAAAAAGCCTCTGATGATTGCGCGGCTCAGCTGGGCATGGGGGGGGCAGGGATTTTTGCTACTGGTTCCACCCGCCTCCATTGCTACCGGATCAGGCGATCAGGTCCAAACCGGGAGCATTTCACCTCTGCTTACAGGTCTAATACATCTGCTTAGGTCTTGTAAGCCAGCCATATTTATGGATCCCTTTCCAGATTCAGTTCAAAGCATGAGGCATGATTTAACAAACTCTAAACAGTTGTTCGAAAGACTGTATTTTGAAATTAAAAATCCTTAAAGGGGGACATGATAGAAGAAGTCTTCCAATACTTGAAGGGCTGCCACAGAGAAGAGGGGTCGACCTATTCTCCAAAACAGCTGAGAGCAGGACAAGAAATAACAGATGAAAAAGTATCAAAGAGAGATCCAACCTAGAATTAAGAACTTTCCTGACCATGAGAACAATTAATCAGTGGGACACCTTGCTGCCACTGGAGGATTGGACAGCCATTTGTCCGGAATGGTATAGGGTTTCCTGCTTGAGTATAGGGTTGGACTAGAAGACCTCCAAGGTCCCTTCTAACTTTGCTGTTCTGCTAAAAGAAGCCCTCTTGATCTTGTACCATAAGAGACAAGGTTGGTTTGAACATAAGAAATGAGCTTGCATGCTTGGAACTCCTTATGTAGGCTGGCTCTCCTGCTGTTCTTTTTTTCATTAAAGCAGGCATTTGGGATTTAAGTTACTTTGTTGGCTATTATTTTTTTAGTTTGGTTTTCTTTTTATTAATACAATTTCAATTGTGTTTCAACTGCCTTTAATCATATTGATTTGTTTCATTCTTCTTCTGCTGTATCTTTATTGTTACCTTTGAAATTTTTGGTAGAAAAAGAATTGATTGATATGCTGCTATTATGTTCATTTGGAAGACTCCAGTGGTTTTAAATGCACAGCTTTTTAAATATGAAACAAGTTTTGTTATTTCTCCAACACTGTGTTATGCTCCAACACTGGAAATTTTTAAGAAGCTGTTGGATAACCATTTGTCTGAAGTGGTGTAGGGTTTTCTGCCTAAGCAGGGGGTTGGACTAGAAGACCTCCAAGGTCCCTTCCAACTCTGTTATTCTATTTCTATTTCTATTTCTAAATATGACCATGATGGTCTAGTCAGGGGAAATTAAAATTAACCCTCTTAAACTGCAATTCATTTATTTCTTGTAGAGGGTTGCTCTAAGCAAGTATGAGGATGGGAGGGAAGGAGAAAAATATAGACAATTGTATTTTAGCTGTAAAAGAATGTCATTATGTATTAGATAAATCTGCCTGAGTTGGTGTATAATGGGATGTATATTACTAGCATCTGGTTGATTTTCCTCATATCTCTTTTTAAAAAAAAATGATTTGAGTGCATTTTATCTCTTCCATGCTACCAAGAGTGGTGAATGTTCTGGATGAGATTTCCAGATATGATGCTATTGGGAAAATAATTGTGTGATGCTTTTGGAACGATAAGTCTGTGTGCCATTGTAACAGGTGGTTGGTGTTGACAATATTGAAACTGGATAACTTACTTTAGAGATCATGTGTACCCAGACAAATTCTAACCAGTTTTGTTGGAGAAATTAATGTGCATTAATCTTCACTGTGAATTTACCATGCTACTGAAGAAGAGCTGAAGATCTTTTGATGCAGTAATGATGTTTATGATGCAGCTGATTAAAGCCTTCCAGAAGTCTAGTTGCTGATGTTGCCATGCAGGAAAATGAAAGCTGAAACTGAAAAGACAAAATTACAGTGGGAACAAGGATCATAAGAAACACGAAAAAGGGAAAGCTCAACATTTTGAAATATTAAATGAATCAACCACACATTGACATCTTAGGCACCAGCAAATTGAAAGGGACTGACATAGCATACTTTCAATCAAAACATCATGCTGTTTATTATTGAGGAACAATAGAATAGGAAATAGAAAAGGGATGGCATTTCATTCCTAGTCAGGAGGTACAGAGCAAACACAGTATATGGGTCCAGTGCAGTCAATGACAAATAATATGAATTAGACTTCATAAATCTTCCTTTAATAAAGCAGTTATCCAGGTGTATGCTTGAACTGTGATGCAGCATATGAGCAGGTTAACAAGCTTGATTGTCGAGTTCAATCTGATATCAGTCGAACAAACATACAAAGAGATGTCTGTAACAGACTCCATAAGAAGTCTAGAGATCTGTTGATATAGTCTATAATAAAAGAGTTTTGCAAGCTTGATTGTGCTTTAATCCCCTTCTATTACATCCCCATGGATCAAGGAGGAGCCTGCCTGAGTTTCTTTCAATCTTTTATTCCAAGATTAAGGAATACTTCATTCCTCTTGCCTATATAAAAGTTCGTGCCATTTCCCTTAAGGTCATCTCCCTGACTCTCAAACCTACTCAGATGATTTATATCTTGGACACATGCAAAAATCCAGCCTTGGGTCCCTAGCGCTGGGGAAGGTGGAAGGGAGGAAATTGAAGAAGAGGGAAACCAGCACTCTGATCAAGCAGCAGCGGGCGTACCACCAAAAGATCTAAAAAGCCAAGTTATCCTGGAGAAGTTCTGTCTGCTTGGTCACTAGGAAGACTCTAACTTCATGACACGTAATCATCAGTAATCATGTGTCTCTCCTAATATGAAGCTTGTAGTCAGACTCATTTCCAATTTAGCTTCAGAAGCTCTCTGCTTCTTAGCACTGCTTGTGTCAGACCTGGAAGCCATCTTTTACCTTGGAGCCTTCAGGCCTGCCACAAATTCTACTGTGGGAAAATGGGAGGGGGGGATTGTAGGGAGTGAAGATGACATGTAGTCAAAATAACATTCTTTCCAGAAAGTCAAGGCTGTTGTACCCTGCAGCTGTGCTGAGAAGAATGAAGAGGTATCTTCTGTTCTGGAGGGTACATGATTGGTTCGTGTGATGGACATGTGGGTGAAGGGCAAGGACTTGAACTTTCTTTTGGGTGAGGAAAACTTGGAAGCTCTCAGAATCGGTTTTTCCCTGATGTGCCAATATGACTAAGCTAATAAAAATTAGCTTTGAGGAAACTCAGGCCTCGGAGTTTGATTTCGTTGGAGGTGTTACTTGGAACCCTGACAACTTGGGTACCAGAAAGTGAGCAGTCTGTTGGTGGTTAGATCACGATACGAAGTGGTCCATGTTTTTAGAACCATCTTCAGCTTTTTAGAATATACTTTGGAAATGATGTATCTCATGCTTCAACCTGTTGAGAATCTGCACTACCTGTTATTGGAAGCTACGATCTGTTTTACCAGATTAAAATCTACTACAGGTAGTCCTCGATTTACGACCACAATTGAGCCCAAAATTTATGTTGCAAAGTGAGAAATTCATTGAGTTTTGCCCCATTTTACAACCTCTCTTGCCACAATTGTTAAGTGAATCACTGCAGCCATTCAGTTAGCAACACAATTGTTTAGTGAATCTGGCTTCCCCATTGACTTTGGTTGTCAGAAAGGTCACAAAAGTTAATCACATGGCCCCAGGACACTGTAACGGTCATAAATATGAACCAGTTGCCAAGCATCCAAACTTTAATCACGTGACCATGAGGATGCTGCAAGGTTGTAGGTGTGAAAAACAGTCATATGTCACTTTTTTCAGGGAAGTTGTAACTTTGAACAGTCACTAAATGGACTGTTGTAAGTCGAGGACTACCTGTACTTAACTTACTGTGATAGGAGCAAGGTTTTGGAACCATTGCAATATATCCTGTATGAAACTAAGCACAGGCAATCCTCGACTTACAACATTTTATTTAGTGACCGTTCAAAGATATAGTGGCACTGAAAAAAAGTGACTTTTGCCCATTTTTCACATTTACGACCTTTGCAGGATCCCCATGGTCACGTGATCAAAATGCTAGACGTTTGGCAACTGGCTCATATTTAATGACGGTTGCAGTGTCCTAGGGATCACATGTTCCCCTTTTGCAACCTTCTGACAAGCACAGTCAATGGGGGAACTAGATTCATTCCACAACTGGAGCCTGGTGGCTCAGCAGACTAAAAGCATTGTGATTAACACCAGCTGTCTGCAATTACTGTAAGTTCGAACCTCACCAGGCTCAAGGTTGACTCAGCCTTCCATCCTTTCTAAGGTAGGTAAAATGAGGACCCAGATTATGGGGGCAATTAAATGACTTTGTATAAATATACAAAAGTATGAAGGCTATTGCTTAGCGCATTGTAAGCCGCCCTGAGTCTCCGGAGAAGGGCGGCATATAAATCAAATTTTAAAAAAAACAAAAACCTGTGTCACTAACTCAACAAGTGCAGTGATTCACTGAACAACTGTGGCAAGAAAGGTCGCAAAATGGGGCAAGATGCACTTAACAAACTGTCCTTGCTTAGCCACAGAAATCTTGAGCTCAATTGTGGTCGTAAGTCAAGGACTATCTGTATACCAGTGGCTATCAGTAAAAAAAAAAAAATTGAAGTCAAAGGTGCAAAAAGGAAGGGAGAGGAAAAAAAAGTCACTCCTATCCTTAGCACCGTTTTTGTGTTTGACTTTTCAGGAAAAGTTCTGTCGCAAAAGTCTGAACGCCGAGAGATGATAACATTCTCCGCTCTTAACCAGTGAATATTCTAAAAGGCACTTCTGTTCTCTGTGCTAGGTTGGAACAAGATATTAAGAAGTTAAAGGCTGATCTACAGGCCAGCAGACAAATCGAACAAGAGCTGCGTAGTCAGATCAGTTCTCTGACTAGCACAGAGCGGGGGATCCGATCGGAAATTGGACAGCTCCGACAAGAAAATGAGCTGCTTCAGAATAAGTAAGTTTACCCATCTATCTCCAATTTCACCATACATACGAGAGGTGTTTTTTTTTTTAAATGCTGCTGCTTTTTTTACTCTTACATTTTTATTCTGGAGGAGGGATAACAGCATTTTTAAAAATCTGAATCTTGACAAAATTAAGTGGTTTTGAGCGCTATCCATTTTGGTTAGAAAGATTAAAGCTGTTCTCTCACTTAGCGTTTCACTGGCTGCCCTGCAGTCCTCAAGTGGGAAGCTAATGCATCAGCTTTAAACGTCTTAATGACTGAGAATTCTGTATTGAAGGACTACGAGCTAAATAACTAAATAGTTCTTTCAGAGATAGGAGTGCTATATTAATTAGGGACTGACTCTCCGTGAACTGAATAAACGCACCGTGAGAATATGAAAAGTGAGCCTGGTTCTTTTTTCAGAATGATATTTAATTCAGACAGAAAGCTAAAGGTCAGGCTTGGTTAGCAGAAACATTCACCCAAATTTAGTTCTGCTACAATATGGATTTTTTTCTGAGAGGTAAGAAATTCCCTCTTGAAATCCTATGCTAAACTGCTCAGAATAAACCCAAATCTAACCCAAATCTACAGTGAACGTTTGGATCATCATTCACTCATTTTGGTGAATGTATGCATGTTGGGTCCATTTGTATCTTGAATTTTCCTTTACGGGTCTATGGCAAGCAGACTGGAATGAGTGAAAAGCGTATCCATCTACATCCCTCCCCTCATGTAGGAGAAGGAGTGGCAGCACCTGGGGGTGGAGTCAAAAGTGGGATCAGCCTAGAATCCCTATGTAGTCACAGGTGAACTAAGTCCAACCTCCCTAGAATCTTGTTGACCATAACTTCACGCAGGTGCTAATCATTAGTTGAGAAGATTCTCATGCATAGGCATGGTTAGCAATAATTCCATTTGATTGGATCTTCACAGTGTGGACCAGTGGTGAAACCAATTTTTTTTTTTTACTACCAGTTCTGTGGGCGTGGCGTGGTGTGGGTTGGTGGGCGTGGTGTGGGTTGGTGGGCGTGGCAGGGGAAGGATACTGTAAAATCTCCATTCCCACCCCACTCCAGGGGAAGGATACTGTGAAATCCCCATTCCCTCCCCACTCCTGGGGGAAGGATATTGCAAAATCTCCATTCCCTCCCCACTCTGGGGCCAGCCAGAGCTGGTATTTGCCGGTTCTCCAAACTACTCAAAATTTCCGCTACCGGTACTCCAGAACCTGCTGGATTTCACCCCTGGTGTGGACCTAGTCTTTCGTGTCTGACATTAATCTTCTCAACTAACAGCACCTGCTTGGAGTTGGATAAGACTCAACAGAATTCAAGGGAGGTTGGAATTAGTTTGCTTGTGGCTATGCAGGGATTCTAGTCTAATCCCTCTTTTAACTCTGCCCCCCAGGTTCTGTCCTGTTCCCAATTTTAAGCGCTTCTAGTGTAGCTCTCTCTGAAAGGGAATAATGTACAAAAAATGAATTGGTTATATTCCTCAGCAAGCCCATTGCAAGCTTGATACCTGTGTTATGATAACAGAACCATCAGATAATTCAGGCCAATTAAAACATGTTCTTGGCTTCTCACATATTTCAAAATCTCATAAAAGACTTATAGGATAGGTGATTCACGAATACTGAATCAGTTATATTCACATACGGGTAGTCCTTGACTTACAACTACAATTGAGCCCAAACTTTATGTTGCTGAGTGAGACAGTTGTGATTTTTTGCCCCGTTTTACAACCTTTCTTGCCACAGTTGTTAAGTGAATCACTGCAGCTGTTAAGTTAGTAACATAGTCGTTAAGTGAATCTGGCTTCCCCATTGATTTTGCTTGTCAGAAGGTCACAAAAGGTGATCACATCATCCCAGGACACTTCAGCCATCATAAAAATGAGTCAGTTGCCAAGCATCCAAATTTTGATCACATGACCATGGGGATGCTGCAAGGATTGTAAGTCACTTTCCTCAATGATATTGTAACTTTGAATGGTCACTAAATGAGCTGTTGTAAATCGAGGACTACCTGCATATGTGTGATTATCTTATTCTCTTAGGCTAAGTCCCTGGTTATTTTCAGTTGTTCTCAGTTCATTAAATAGATAATAGTATCCTAACACTATTATAGTGAGAAAAGACTTTTAAGCAGTTGGTGCTGTCCCCTTTGCAGCGCAGAAGTCTGAAGCAAAGCTTTCCTGACAGCTTGATAAATGGCTGTCTAGCTTCCAGCCAATAATCTACCGTATTTTTCAGAGTATAAGACGCACCGGAGTATAAGACACAGCTTAGTTTTTGGGGAGGAAAATAGGAAAAAAAATATCTGCCTAGCAGGTATTCATCTGGCTAGCGTCCTTAGTCTGGTCAGCTTCAGCACATTAGTTTGCTGGTTTTTTTATCCCCTGCTTGGGGATAAAAAACAGCTTCTAAGGCACAGCTGAGAGGAAGCAGCAATGAGAAAAGCAGGCAAAACACAGGGGGTGGGGGTTATCGCTTCACTCGGCTAGCACCTACTTAGGGCTGAAAAAATGCTTCTGAAGAACAGCTGAGAGTCGGAGCAAAGCATGGAGATTGCTTCACTTGCTAGCGCCTCGGTAAAGCACAGGGAGAGTCGAGGGAGCAGGCAAAGCTGGGAAGATCGCTGGGGAAGATCGCTCGCGCCTCGTTAGGGCTGAAAAAAAGCTTTGAAAAAGCTGCATTCGGAGTATAAGACGCACCCAAATTTTCAGCCTCTTTTAGGGGGGGGAAAGGTGCGTCTTATACTCTGAAAAATGTGGTAGTCTCTTTCTTTCTAAGTCATTGATGTCACTGTTGACTTGCTTTTAACTGTTAGGCAGCTCTTCCAAATCCACTCCTGAAAAATGCATTGTGAATTTTGGCTTTGAATGTGTTGGGGAAATGTGTGCACAGCAGTAGCATCACATTCATGTCATCATGTAAAGTTTCTCTTTTTTAAAAAAAAAAAATCTCTGAAAAATGGATGCAGGTCAGGATTAGAACCCTAGAAGTTTCAACTTCAATCAGTTGAAAGAGTTTATCTGAGAGTCTTTATAAGCAGTCAGTAATTCAAGATAGACACAGGGATTGGAGACCTATTATTATAAAGCACTTTTATTCAAAGCTAGTTGGGGTGGATGAGTGGTTTTCTTCCCATTTACACACAGATATTACAGACTTTATCCTTTTTTTCAGACTGCATAATGCTGTACAAATGAAACAGAAAGATAAGCAGACCATTGGCCAATTGGAGAAAAAGCTAAAAGCAGAGCAAGAAGCACGGACCTTTGTAGAAAAGCAGTTGATGGAAGAAAAAAAAAGGAAGAAGTTGGAGGAAGCAACAGCTGCTCGGGCTGTTGCATTTGCCGCGGCTACCAGGTACTTGGTTCCTGCTGCTTCTTTTCTTCTAGAACTGTGTTGTTCAAACTTGGCAACTTTAAGACGCGTGGACTTCAACTCCCAGAATTTCCCGGCCAGCTGGCTGGGGAATTCTGGGAGTTGAAGTCCACGCATCTTAAAGTTGCCAAGATTGGGAACCCCTGCTCTAGATCCAAAGATTTGAAAGGGAAGAATGGTGAAAAAAAGAGTTAATAATTTATCAAACATTTGCTAGAACAATAATGGTGAGAAATACTCTGCTCTTTCTCTGATTAATATTTTGAGTGCTCAAGGCATGCCTATAATGATCAGATTAGCCAGTTATATATGAGTTCAGGAAAAACGCCTGAACAGGTGAAAAAGTGATGATTGTGTTTCTGAGTTGCAAATTTCCTTCATCATATTTGTCTTTATTCACCATTTACAATAATTTGATAACCTTTTTTTTAAAGGAAGCTGTCAATTAAGTGATATAGGAGTAAGGTTTTGTGCTGTTTCATGCAATTCATTTGTATTTGATATATGATGTGTACAAATGTCTATGCCATAATATAAAAAGAGCCTTGGTAGTAGAGTGGTCTAAGGCACCCTGTTATTAAGCTGGTTATTAAGACCAGCTGCCTGCAATTACTGCAGGTTCGAATCTCGTCAAGGCTCAAGGTTGACTCAGCCTTCCATCCTTTCTAAGGTAGGTAAATTGAGGACCCAGTTTGTGGGGGCAATAAGCTGACTTTGTATAAATATACAAAAGGATGAAGGCTATTGCTGAGCACATTGTAAGCCGCCCTGAGTCTCCGGAGAAGGGCGGCATATAAATCAAATTAAAAAAAAAAAAAACCTGTGTCACTCCAAGAAGATAGCATTCTGGTTTATAACATTTCAGGCTGTATGTATAGGTTTATATTGGGGGGGGGAGCAGGGGGGCTCTACCGCGAGACAATAAAACTACTTTGTATGAATGAAATAGTACAGGTGGTCTCGATCATCATTAAGCCTGGCAATTATGTTCATACATATCACCATGTAACCTGTCTTAAAGATTATTATGGCAGTCATAAGGCACCCCTCATTAAGCGAACCTACTATTCTCTACGGGCTGCTTTTTGCCAGAAACCAGAGATAAACACCAGTTTCTGGCAAAAACACCACAAATCAATCACATGACTGCGGGACCCTGCAACCGCCCATAAATGAATGCCAGTGCCAAGTGCCCAAAATGCAGTCACATGACGATAGGGAGGGCTGATGTTAGAACTTTGAAACTGGGCTATAAGTCTTGGGAGAGGTTCGTCAGAACTTCAGACCGTTGATAAGTGACTGGTCATAAATTGAGGACTACCTGTAAAGCTCAGCTGATGTGACCTTTCTGACAAGTTAGTCCTTTGTGTGCTCAGAGCATGTTATTCTCATCCAAACATGCAAAGTCCTTCCCCTACAGTATAGTCTGAAGTTTAACAGTCCAGAACAAGCTTTATTACAGTATATGAGAGCCTATAAACTTGCTCTCTTATCAGTGGCAGGATGGATGAATCCAGAGAGGGTATGCAAAAGATTTAATCTGAACTTATCTGATGCCAAAGTTTTTCAGCCATTGGTGAAGTATTAAAGATCACGTGAAGTGTTAATACCACTTTATAATGCCTATAATGCCAAGGCCACACTTGGAATACTGCATTCAGTTTTGGTTGCCACGATGTAAAAAAAGATGTGGAGACTCTAAAAAGAGTGCAGAGAAGAGCAACAAAGATGATTAGGGGACTGGAGGCTAAAACATATGAAGAAGGGTTGCAGGAACTGGGTAAGTCTAGTCTGATGAAAAGAAGGACTAGGGGGTGACATGATAGCAGGGTTCCAATATCTCAGGGGTTGCCACGAAGAAGAGGGAGTCAAGCTCTTCTCCAAAGCACTTGAGGGCAGGACAAGAAGCAGTGGGTGGAAACTAATCAAGGAGAGAAGCAACCTAGAACTAAGGAGAAATTTCCTGACAGTTAGAACAATTAACCAGTGGAACAACTTGCCCCCAGAAGTTGTGAATGCTCCAACACTGGAAGTTTTTAAGAAAATGTTGGATAACCATTTGTCTGAAGTGGTGTAGGGTTTCCTGTCTAAGCAGGGGGTTGGACTAGAAGACCTCCAAGGTCCCTTCCAACTCTGTTATTCTATCTACACAAATATGACTAAAAATGCAGCATTTTCTATGCCAGATACTGAACTGAGAAGGGAAGATTACAAACATCAAGTAAATACGGGCAAAAGTTCCCCTTCTCCTATTGCTCAAAGAGCAGTTTCTGTTTTTTTAGGAAACAAAACCTCATTTTTGGAAGCCTACAGCTGCAAACCTAACAGAGGACTATATGGTTCACAAATTATGTTTTCTTTTGCAGTGCTAATTCAGCTGCTTTATAAAAAGAGTCCACACAATTGCATCCTTTTTCCACAATCTTACTATTTTGATACATTCATGAAATTAGCAGAAACCCAGACTGAAAGCTTGCCCTCTTCTCTCTTTCCCCTTATTTTTTTTTTGCTAGAGGAGAATGCACTGAGACGTTACGAAATCGCATCAGAGACCTGGAGACAGAGTGCAAAAAGCTAACTATTGATATAAAGGTGAAAGAAGATCAGATACGAGATCTAGAAATGAAAGTTCAGGTAAGGAGAAAGTAACAAAAGGTTCTGGGATTCTGTCTCTCAGCCAAAATTCTAGGGTTTCCTTTTAAAGTTAGCAAAACATTTGCAAGATTTGAAAGATACACCAGGGTTTTACTTTTTCCTTACTCTAAATCAGCTTGAGGCAGGCTACAGTTCCATCACCCATAGATTTGTTTGTTTTTTTATTTGTTTTTAGATTTGTATTTGTATACAAATACAAATTTGTATTTGTATGGCAATTGGTAGCAGAAGGTGGTCCCGTAAGTACCCCGGTCCTAAGCCATGGAGCGCTTTAAAGGTGGTCACCAACACCGTGAAGCTCACCCGGAAGTCCACCAGAAGCCAATGCAGCTCGCGCAGGAGAGGTGTCACGTGGGAGCGCCCTGTCGCTCCCATAATCCCCCGCACGGCCGCATTTTGCACCAGTTGGAGCCTCCGGATGCACCCCAAAGGGAGCCCCATGTAGAGAGCATTACAATAGTCCAGACGAGAAGTGACGAGTGCTTGAGTGACCGTGCGTGAGGAGTCCCGATCTAGAAAGGGGCGCAACTGGCGTATCAGGCGAACCTGATAGAAAGCCCCCCTGGCCATGGCCGTTGTATGCTCTTCTAAAGACAGCCGTGCGTCCAGGAGGACACCCAAGTTGTGGGCCCTTTCCGTGGGGGCCAGTGATTCGCCCCCAATAACCAGCGATGGCACCAGCTGGCTATACCGGAACGCTGGCAGCCACAGCCACTCAGTCTTGGAAGGGTTGAGTCGAAGCCTGTTTCTCCCCATCCAGACCCGCATGGCCTCCAGGCACTGGGACATCACTTCCAAGGCATCGTTGAGATGGTCTGGGGTGGAGATGTACAGCTGAGTGTCATCAGCATACTGATGGAACTCCATCCCAAAACCACGGATGACAGATTGGTCATGCTGGGAATGATGAAAGATATAATCTTAACACATTTACAAGGTGCTACCTTGTTTCCCCAAAATAAGACATCCCCTGATAATAAACCTAATAGGGCTTTTGAGCACATGCACTAAAATAAGCCTCCCCCCCCCGAAAATAAGCCCTCCCAAAAAATATTTAAATGCAGAGCTGGAAATCAGGTAAGACAGCAAGAGGAGTTCCATCTTGCTTCACATGCCCCAAAATAATAAGACCTCCCCGAAAATAAGGCCAAGCACTTATTTCGGGGTTCAAAAAAATGTAAGACAGGATCTTATTTTCGGGAAAACATAGTAGTTTAGGGAAGAGTGTCTGAACCTGAAAACTGTTTTTTTCTTTTCCATGCCTTTTCCAGCAAGAATATTTGCTTACTGAGAAGCATTTCTTAACCTACAGATCACTGTTTGGGTAATAACAATCTGCAAAATGAGGTCTAACGGATTCCCTTAGTTCTATCTGATTAATTTCAAAATTAATCCAGTCCAAAAAGTTTTCTTGATATACATTCCAAAACTAAAGTTATGTTCACAAAATGTGGGTGCAAAAGGGAGGAAGGCCATAATTGAATTGACACCACAATTGTGGAAAAATGTGTAAACTGTGCTTAAGAAAAAAAAATAAACTAGAAATATTTTCAGACTCTGGAACCCATTGTTTACAAGCCTTATAGCAGTTTCACATTTTTGATAAGGCAACATTTCCAGGGGATAATGGGGGGGAAGGAAGGCTAACCATTTACCTTATTTCCTGAGGACTGTGAAAACAAAGGAAGGAAGCCAGGTGTAAAAGTTAAGAGTAGGGAGAGCCAGATTTCAATCACCCTTTAAGAACACAAGCTGGCTGGGTGACCTTGGGCCATGCACTCCCCCTCAACTCAAATCAGCATCAGGATGTGTGACAAGCTGGCTGAGAGACAAAATCCCTTATGGCATCTTGCACTAATAGCTTTGTTATAAGAACTAGGCAAGCACAATGCAAAAGCAGTCTATGGGAGACCAATGGGGGATTGAAAGCTGTCCAGCAGATCTGGAGGATACTAGAAAAGGCAGCTATTAAGTGTACTTGAACAACTAATGATTGCATTTACTTGCCCACTTATTTAAGAAAAAAACACTTTGTTCAGACTCTTCAATTTAAATAGAACAGGGTTGGGGAGAATCTACAACTGTTTCAGGGAAACCTTCATGTTTTGTTGAGAATTTAACATCCTATGAATTTCCATTGAAATACCTTCACTTTTTGAAAGTTCTCTGTATGTCCCATAGTTGAACAAGTCAAATTGGCTAAGCAAACAGGTAGTTGATTAAAAGGTAAAGGTTCCCCCTCGCACATAAGTGCTAGTCATTTCTGACTCTAGGGGGCGGTGCTCATCTCCGTTTGAAAGCTGAAGAGCCAGCGCTGTCCGAAGACGTCTCCGTGGTCATGTGGCCGGCATGACTCAACGCCAAAGGCGCACGGAACGCTGTTACCTTCCCACCAAAGGTGGTCCCTATTTTTCTACTTGCATTTTTTACATGCTTTCGAACTGCTAGGTTGGCAGAAGCTGGGACAAGTAACAGGAGCTCACCCCGTTATGCGGGACTAGGGATTCAAATCACTGAACTGCCGACTTTTTGATTGACAAGCTCAACATTTTAGCCACTGAGCCACCGCATCCATTACGTAGTTGATTACCGAGGGTCCATTTATGAAGGAAGTCATTATAGCCATTATGATGAATTATTCTGAAATGAGATTAAAGACATTTCTGGAGAATAGGGTTACCAACCAGGCTTATATGCTAACTGTAGAATTTATCTGAATAACATTTTGGGGAAAATATGCACCAAGGATTCTGCTTGTCTCCACCCTGTAGGCTTCTCAGAGACATTCTAAGTGTCCACTGCAAGTGACAAGAATGGTGTGTGAATGAGCAGGACATTTATGCTTTGACTTTAATTTGGAGCCTGAGAAACACAGATCAATGTGTACCTTCTCAACTATAGGTTAATTATTATCTTATATGCCTCATCTGATAATACATTTCCCCACCCCAAAGCCAACATCAACATTCAGTGGTAACTAGAGGAATATATCAGTCTTTTCAAAGCTCTTGGCAAAAAAATAATATCTATATTATATCCAGACTCTTGTATCTAGACAGGTAGTCCTCAATTTACGACCACAATCGAGCCCAAAATTTTAAGATGCTAAGTGAGACATTTGTTAAGAGAGTTTTGCCCCATTTTATGACCTTTCTTGCCACAGTTATTTAAGTGCATCACTGCAGTTGTTAAATTAGTAACACGGTTGTTAAGTGAATCTGGCTTTCTCGTTGACTTTGCTTGTCAGAAGATTGCAAAAGTTGATCGCATGACCTCGGGACACTGCAACCGTCATAAATGTGAGTCAGTTGTCAAGCATCCAAATGTAAATCACGTGACCATGGAGATGCCGCAACGGTCGTAAAATGGTCATAAGTCACTTTTTTTCAGTGCCGTTGTAACTTTGAATGGTCGCTAAATGAACTGTTGTAAGTCAAGGACTACCTGTAACCTTTAACTGGGCAAAATGGTACATCATAGGGCAAAACTGTTTCAACCATGGTGCCTCAAATGGACAGAATACTGGGATCCGTTTATCCCATGGGAATGACATTTTGGAACGCTCTTGCCCTGCCACGTTGTTACTCTTCAGCATTGCTGCCACGCTGGAGCACTGACATTTAATAATAATAACTTTATTGTCATTGTACGTGTATACACAGTATACCCATACAACGAAATTCACTTAACATCCAAAGACCATCCAACACACATAACAATCCCCAAACACACTCCCACCCACCCCAATTCCCCACCCCTAAACCACCCAAACATCCACACAACAGACCAATTAATGCTGTCCAACAGCTCACTGATGGTGGCCCTTTAGTTCATTGTTGAGTGCAATTATAGCTCTGGGATAAAAATTCTTCAGAAAATGTGTGGTCCGAGTTTTAATTGTTCTGTATCTTCTGCCAGAAGGCAACAGTCCAAAAAGATTGTTAGCAGGATGGGAAGAGTCTCTGAGAATGTTATGCAACTTCCTCAAACAGCGAGATTCGAAGATGTCGTCCAGGACTGGTAGCTGGAGCCCGATGATATTCTGGGCAGTTTTAATGATTCTCTGTAGAGCTTTTTTGTCCACTACAGAGCTGCTCCCATACCATGCAAGAATGCCGTATGTCAGGACACTCTCAATGGTGCTTCAATAGTAGGGCAGAAGTAGATGCTGAGATAGATTTACATCGTTTCCTGACGCCTTCCCAAAAATCATTGGGGAAGCCAGCAGGAGAAAGTCAGTGGGGATTCCATGACTGCAGCTGATAGCAGGAAGGCAGTAGTGGGTTTGGGTAACAAAATATATCTGAAAGGATGACCCAACAAGTCACGGGTTGTCTAGTGACAGCTAAACATTTCCAATCCCTATGAATTACTTTGGTGTTCAAACATGGCTTAAATGTGAGTTTGTTTTTACAGCTGGACTCTTGATGCCTACACAGAAGTTGTTGTTTTTTTGGTAACGGTAGAAAGGTGGTTTTCCAAGATTTTTGTTTACCTTCCTAATCTAGTCTGTAGCCCTGATTAACCTTTTAGGATTTCCTCTAGTATAACAAATAACATGCAAGTCAGAAGGTATTCCCAAGTGCCCAGAGCCAGGTGTTTGCCCCAGTTTCTCCCCCCTTCCCCACCCATAATTTTTCCTCCCCCTTGAATCTCCTAATAGTGACTGTGCTTGTAACAATCCTGCTTTAATTCCTTTGAAAGGAATGGCGGAAATACAAAGAGAATGAAAAGGACACCGAGGTATTAATGTCGGCCCTTTCAGCCATGCAGGATAAGACGCAGCACTTAGAGAACAGCCTGAGCGCAGAGACAAGAATCAAATTGGACCTCTTCTCTGCTTTAGGAGATGCCAAAAGACAGCTGGAAATAGCTCAAGGTAAGTCAATCTCGGGGTGCCTTTAGTGCAGCGGTCACCAACTGGTGGTCCGTGGACCACTGGTGGTCCATGAGAAAATTTTGGTGGTCTGCAGAAAGCTTATTTCCATTTTTTATATTGCATTAAATCAGGGGTCCCTAAACTACGGCCTCTGGGCCGGATTAGTGCAATGAACGCTTGTATTACTGCAGAGTCTCCCCCTTCAGGGTCTTTTTGTGTGGGTCGGAGGGGGGCAGAAATTCCGACTCAGAGTCTGTTTCAACCTCCTAGTGTGGGGCTTTGGGCGAAGGCTGCAGGGAACTGCTGCTGGTGGCAAAGAGCCAGAGGGCCTTCTTCCAGTGGGACTGCCTCATGGCCTGGAACTGGCTGATCATCTCAGCCCGCTGAGCCTCCAGGCGCCGGTACCTGGCCTTGCACTCCCACAGGTCTTCCTTCTTCTTGGAAAGCCTATGCTCGTAGTCCTCAGTGAGGTGCTTCTGCTGAGCCTTCTTCTCAGTCAGATCCAATTTGAACTGAGCCAGCTGTTTTGCCAATTCTTTCTTGTGGTGGCTACTTAGCTCCAACAACTGCTTCCTGTTGGGGCCCTAAGGAGCCCGGTTGGGGAGGCGAGGACTGGGTGGGAGGGGAGGGGCAAGTAGAGGCCGGCGAGGCACCCCTCTACGTAAGTGACATCAAGTTGGCCATGCCCACCCAGTCACATGTCCACCTAGCCACGTCCACCCAGCCGGTCATTAGGAAGATTATATTAGTGGTCTGCGGGATTTAAAATTATGAATTTAGTAGTCCCTGAGGTCCGAAAGGTTGGTGACCCCTGCTTTAGTGCACTGTAAGAACCCAAAGTTCAGGTAGTCCTCATTTAGTGACCGCAATTGGGACCGGCAAGTCAGTCATTAAGCGAAGCGATCGCAAAGGGAAACCATGACTGTGCTTATGGTCTTTAGCTTTCCTTTGCTTTTCCAGACGTGCGAAAGTCATAAGTGCAAGAATTTTCATCACATCATAATTGTGTGTATGGTTGCAAGTTACCCACTGAATGAGGACTATCTGTAATCCTTATGGGAGCTTCCATCGCAGCTTTGAATATCGCCGTGTGTTATGTGATGGCATTTCCTTATTGTTTCCAAAGCCATTTCTAGAAAGTTTTCATTGGGAAAAACTGGCAAGGAAAACTGGCAAGGAAAAATCCCTATGGCCCTTCTTTTCTGACCCTGACCTGGCCATTTCTCTCCCATCTGCTTAAAAATGTTTTTGCTCTGTTTTAACTTAAAAGTGCTTTTGCTCTGTTTGAGCATTTGGCTCAATAATTCACTGGCTAATTAATTTCCATTAGAAAAGTCCACTATAATCATAAGAGCATCAGTTAAAACTGGGTAATGTATGGACAGTTGGTTCAGAAATCTATTCTTTTACTTCCCTTTTTTAAAGAATTATTACATTTTCATACTATGAAAAATGATAAATAAATGAAAATAAAGATAGTAGGGAAATGGGAAAGGGAATAAACAGGAAAAAAGAAGTGTGGGGTAGAGAGGGAAAAAGAAGAAAAAAATATTAACTTCCAACTTTTTTTTAGTGCAGTTAGAATACAAATAGTAAGATACAACCTCAACTTTTTACTTTTACATACCTAATATATTAGTCATTTCTACAACAATAGACTTACCTACTCAGAAAATCCCAAAGTCAGAACTTTTTTTTGAAGGGAAATGAGATGGCCAGATAAACCTAATAAAATTAAGCAACCCTTGTTATAAAAAAGGAAACAGTCTAACCAAAGACCCCTAACCCGTTTCTGAAGCCCTTCGTAATCTCCAACACTACACAGCCAAAACTCAATTGCAAAGTAATAATTGTATAGCAATTTTCTCTCTCTTATGTTGAAGCAGTTAAGTGGGGAAATGAGAGGTTTTCTGTTATCATTTTGTTTAAATCAAAATACAGGCCCTAAAAGCAGGAAGAGGGGCAGGGATTCTCAAGAGAAGGGGGTCAAGCTATTCTCCAAAGCACCTGAAGGCAGGACAAGAAGCAATGGATGAAAACTAATCAAGAAGAGAAGCTACTTAGAACTAAGAAGAAATTTCAGTTCTGAGAGAACAATCAGTTCTGAAGTTGTGAATGCTGTAACACTGGTAGTTTTTAAGAAGAAATTGGACAACCATTTGTCTGAAATAGTATAGGGCTTCCTGCCTGAGCAGGGGTTGGACTAGAAGACCTCCAAGGTCCCTTCCAACTCTGTTATTCTGATTTCAGTCCTGCCTATTTGAATCAGCTCAGTAAAAAAGAATGGGGTGAGATGGGGAAGAGAGTGCAAGCTTGGGTCAGAAAAAGGAAATTGCCGGGTTTGTTTGTTGTTTGTTGTTGGGTTGGGGTTTTTTTGGCTTTCTGAGGATAACAGCAAGCAGTGCTAGAAAACAGATCATTAAATTTTATTAGATCCGCAAATGCAATTCGAAGTGTGGACATTACAAAAAATGCAGTGTTAAGAAATTAAGAGCACAGGCACAGCTAGAGTTCCTCATGTTCTGAGCACAACGGAATGCTGAGAAAAGAGAAAAATACGTTGCTAAATTGTTCTGAAATAGATGAATTGTATCCCTAACTCTGTGGCTATTGTGTTTTCAAACCTTAAGAAAATGCTTTTTAGTGCAGGTTTCTAGCATTGAAATAAAAGGCACAAAAGAGTCTCGCAGGATAGCAGAAGCAAATCTTTCTGTGTCCGTCTCTCTCTGGCCCCCCAGAAAATATTGCTAAGGAGAGAAGGGCCCCTTTGGGCTTGAAAACATTTGCAAAATCAGTCTCCCCTCCTCTGTTTCAATTTGGAGTTTTTGTTGGGTGCTGCGAACTGCCACTTGATCCAGCAGAGGGTGCACAAGGCTAACAAAAGAATTGTCTTTCTTGAGTCATACCAGCGCAAATCTCCGAACTGGGATATTTATTTTTCCTTGATATGCTGTAGCACCACCCTCCCTTAACATGCCTTTTATCATAATACTTCTTTTAAAACCATATATTGGTCCAGGACAGGGGTGTCAAACTTGTGTCGTCATGGCATCATCATGTGACGTATTGGGACTTTTTCCCCCTTCACTAAACTGAGCATGGGTGTGGCTAGTGCGGGACGCATCCGACTCACAGGCCGCAAGTTTGACAGCCCTGGTCTAGGGTTTCAACAAGGTATGGTTAAAAAAAAAAAGTCAAGAGATAACAGTGCACTTCAATCTCCATTGTTGTTGGTGTGTTGTGTGTGCCGATACAGCTTCGGTTACACTATTGCAGCCTCTCTTTTTTTGGCTGTACTATATAGCTACCACTGAAAAGCCCTTCCTGTCAGGCACAAAGGATTGGGGCCCTACATTAAGTTGCAGTACAAGAAGATTTATTATTTCAAGCCTATACACAAGAATCCAGTCAACTAATGGTCAGCGCTAAATTGGCGCTAGATAAGGGTCAATGGAATTCATGGGAAGACTAGGCTCGGGTCATTTGTGGCAACATGAGGACTCTAAGCTAATGATGTGTTTAACTCCGCCTCCAGCTCTCTGCTTGCTCTTCTCCTATGTCAGAGGTCTTCAAACTTGGCAGCTTTAAGACTTGTGGACTTCAACTCCCAGAATTCTGGGAGTTGAAGTCCACAAGTCTTAAAAGCTGCCAAGTTTGGAGACCCCTGTCCTATGTCTTAAAGTGAACGTCTTCCTGTGCCTTAAAGTGAGTGATTCTTTTCTTTCTTCCCATTTTGCAGGGCAAATAATTCAGAAAGATCAGGAAATCAAGGACCTAAAACAGAAGATAGCGGAAGTGATGGCAGTCATGCCCAGCATAACATACACTGCAGCCACCAGCACGCTGAGCCCAGTTTCTCCACACTATTCTTCCAAATTTGTGGAGACGAGCCCTTCTGGACTTGATCCTAATGCCTCAGTTTATCAACCCCTGAAGAAGTAAGCGCCAACTTTCCACCTGTCGCACCGAAGGCATCAACACAGAAAAATCTCTTGCAGTCAAGATGAAATTTGTATAGTGTGAAACTGTACTGATTTCTTGTTTAAAAATAAAAATAAAGGGAAGTGGGGGGGCCCAACACCAAGGTTTGACTCAAACTGCCCATCAGTTTTTTCTTGTAAATTTTTAGAAAAACTCACAAAACTTTACAATTTTTTTTTCTTGGCCAATGCATTAAGGGGGAAAGAACCCACAATTCTTGGTTTTCATATAGCAAATTCTGCTTCTCTTTGTTAGTTAAAGTCAATTCACACACAGATACCCACACATAAATGAATTGCTGCAAAAAATTTTCCCTTGAAACTACCAAAAAAAAAAAAAAAATAGCAGCTCTGCTTGATTTTAAACCCTTCTTTCTCCCCCCACCCATTTCTTTTAAATATAATGAAGCCAAAATGGCAAATTAAAAATGGCAAGGAATAATGATGGAAATTCTTTAGTCTGTTTTTTTGTTTTTTATGGCGAAAGGATTTGTAGTGAAATAAAGCTTTGATATAGAGGATGGTGAGATGGGGTTGAATGGAAGGAAGAATGTCCAAGATACCAATTTAGCTTACCCCACTAAGGACCAAATGTGTAATAAGAGGGCATCATTTTCTTGAAGGAAGGCAATAAACACATGATAATGACATGTTCTTGGTAGTTGTGTGAAGGTTCCCATCAGGATGGTTAATGGCTTTGAAAGATGCTAATGTTGGCAGGACCTTGAGAAACTAAGAGATGCCAAGAGGGAATTTGATAATTTAAGACTTATCTCTCTTCCCCCACTCCCGTTTTGCTCCCACATAACCTAAAAAAAAAACCACCTAAAACTCGTTTTACAGAGTCTATTGCAGGTCACCAATATAATTTGGATGCCATCTGCGGTTACATCTCTTTTTTGTTCATTTTTGGATACCAAATCCAACAGTGTTTCCAATGATGCGGATACGCTGTAGCTGAATAGTAACAGAGGGAGTATTGTAGTAAAAGCAGAGCAGTGCAACATAGGGTATTCCAGAGACTGTCCGACTGGTTTCATAAAAAGGGCAGCTTGGGTGTTTTGGTTTTTTTTTTTTTTTAAGTCAAATTTCAATTAAGCTTTTTATCATCCTGAGTTTGACAGTTTCATTTCAATGAGACTGGGCTAAAATCTCAGCCGTTGTGCCAAGGAGGTTTTGTTTTTTTTTTTAAATAATTTTTAAAAAAGAAACTCAAAATTGCACAAAGATTTCAGTTTAAATGTATATTGTGCATTGGTAGGAAAGTGTGTTGCACTGGCGACTTTTGAAGTGTTTAAGGTTTGAGTATGGGTGGGAGGGGCAGTGGGGCAGGGATTCAAAATTGTATTAGTAACTAGCAAAATTATTAAAGAGAGAAATGAATTCATTATGATTTTGCAAACATGCAGTGGACTCTGGAAGGACAAAGTTCTTCTTTAAAACACTTTTTAAAGTTTCATAATTGGCAGGTATGCCTTGTTTGAAAACAAATTAAGTAGGACAAGCAAGTCAATAAAATATGAGTATTAATGGTCCATCATTTTAAATCAGATTCTTTTTCAGATTAAAAAAAAAAATCCTAGCTTTAGCCAGGTGTGCATGTTGCTGTCATTTTGCTTTTTGGAATCATCTTGTGTAATTGTCACCATGAAAGTGTTACTCAGAAATGTCATTGGTTTTCATCTTTGTGCAAAACATGGACTCTTGTCATTGACTTTTTTGTGTTGAGGTTCCCCCATTTTTTTATTTTTATTTTTTATTGTTTTATTTTTCTTGGCTGCCCTTTTGGGCACTCTTTCTGTTGAAATACTTGGTCTTGGCTGCATTCCTTTTTTTTTTCTGTGGGGTTTACAAAAAAAATATAAAAATAAACATTTTCTTGCAGATAAGTCATTTTTGGGGGGGTTTGTTTGTTTAAGTGATTGATCAGATAGATTAAAAATACTTGGAAAGAGGGGGAAAAACTCTTGGAAAAGTAAACAGATTTGGGTTTTAAGAATAGTTTGGGTGTCATCTAGCATAGAGTTTCTCAACCTTGACAACTTTAAGACTCCAGAATTCCCAAGCCAACATGTGCTCAAGTAAGATCATCTTAGATCACAGAACTACACTTGAAATCTTTGAGGAGGGCACAGTAGGCAGAGTGATGATGCAGAGTGGACCCAAATAATACCTATAGGCAAGGAGCCCTGGTGGCGCAGTGGTTAGAATGTAGTATTGCAGGCTGACTCTGCTCACTGCCAGGAGTTCGATCCTGACCGACTCGATTGACTATCCTTCCAAGTTCGGAAAAATGAGGACCCAGATTGTTGGGGGCAATATGCTGACTTTTTAAATCACTTAGAGCTGTAAAGCACTATGAAGCGGTATATAAGTCTTAAGTGCTATTGCTATTTTCTGGGGTGGATTCAGCGTTTTAAGTTTGGCACCTCTTAATATTAAGCCAATGTTTTGGCTAACACAAGAAATTCAGGAATTCCTTGATTTAAAATCTGCTGATTTGTGTGTAACCTAAAATGGGATTGGAAGCCGTATGTGATCCTGAGGTTTCAGGTTTCCTCCTCCTTGATGGGGATCAAAGTGCAATGCAGTTTTGTGTCCTGTTGCTTCCATCAGAATTTCAAATTGGAGTAAAAACTATTGCATGTGATCCATGCCATTTATGCATAGGGTTAGAACTAAATGGAGTCTCTTTAGATAGTAGAAACCTGGATTTAGCTATTCTTTCATCTGCAGGTAAGTACTCTGATTTAAACAAAATGAGGAAAATCTCTTCGAATGGGCTCATCAAGTCTAATTTTCTGAGATGCTTATTGTTGGGGAAAATAGAAGACAAAGGTGTTGGATGAAAATAAACTTGGCTTATAATGGATTGATAACGTCATTTCAGGTATAAACTCTAAATGACTAAATTTATCAAAAGGATGCTCCTGTCACTTCTGACATTTGCTGTTCATTATTTGTCTCCCCAAATTCATCCCATTTAAGTCTTTTTACCTCTAAAGGATTGCAGAGCTGACTTCTTTTAAAAAATGAAGTCTTTTCTTCCTGCAACCTTTTCAAAACCCTGTATAATAATTTAAGCAAAAGGCTGAACAATAAATTACTTTCAAAGGGTGGGAACTTTGGCTCTTTCACCCGCATTTCAGACCTCAGACTGGAAGAAAAATTGTAGACCTTACAGAAGCCTTTACAGCCATGATGCAGTTTGCTTGAGGCTAATAACACTCGTTATGCAAAACCAGCTATTATAGATTTGCAAAAGCCACAATTTTTGTCTTAACAACTGTACAGACCCAACAAACTATCGTATTTCAGCAAATCATCTTTAATAAGACTGTGCAGGAGCCAGGTCACCAATTCAAAGCAGCAGAAAGGAAAAATGACTTCTTTTATTTCTGAATTTCCCATCCAGTTTTAAGTGAAGCATTATTTGATAGCTGGGTTTCCAAGATGTGGTACCTCTCGGCTACTTAGCATTTTTCAAAAATCTTATAAAGAAATTCTTGCATAATTCTTGCCATGATCTCCCTGTAAGTACAGGCCCAGTGGAAGTAAAATATACCAGAGAAAAAAGAAAAGTTAATTCTGATAAGGTTAGTTTATTCATTCATTATATTTGTATAGCTGCCCGTTTCACATGAAAGCAGGGGTGAAATGCTCCTGGTTCGGACCGGATCACCCGATCCAGTAGTGATGGCGGCGGGTGTTTCGGAGAACCGGTAGCAAAAATCCCTGCGCACACACACACACACCATGCCCAGCTGAGCTGCAGGATCATCAGAGGCTTTCTTTTTTTTTACTTTTAAAAGCATTTTTTCTACAACCTCTTCCGACAAAAAATGCTTTTAAAAGTAAAAAAAAAAGCCTCTGATGATCGTGCGGCTCAGCTGGGATCGTCAGAGGCTTTTCAAAGCATTTTTTTCTGCAACCTCTTGGCCGAAGAGTTGGTAAAAATCAGCTTTGAAAAGTCTCTGACGATCCCAGCTGAGTTGCCTGATCGCCAGAGGCTTTTCACAGCATTAGAAAAAACGCTTTGAAAAGTTTAAAAAAAAAAAGTTGGCCATGCCCACCCAGTCACATTACCCTCCCCCACCAAGCCATGCCCACAAAACCCGGTAGTAACACATTTTACATTTCACCCCTGCATCAAAGTGACTCTCAGCAGCATACAAGTAGCGCTTGACTTATGAACTTTCATTTAACAACAATTAGAAATTACAATGGTGCTTAAAAAAAAAAGTAACTTACAAGCAGTCCTCACCCTCATGAGTGTTGCAGTGTCCCCACAGTCACTTAATCAAAATTCAGGCACTTGGCAACCAACCAGCATGTATTTATGATGATTTGCAGCATCCCAGGTTCACACGATCTCCCTTTACAACTTCCCACCCAGCTTCCAATAAACAAAGTCAAGGGAAAAGGCTAAATTCATTTAACAACCTTGTGATTCTCTTAATGATGGCGGTGACTCAATTAACAACAGAGGGGAAAAGGTGGTTAAAATCAGATGCAACTCAATGACTTGGAACGCAGCTCTTTTCTACCTGAGCTCTTCCCCACTTGGCTGCGCTGTTTTTGGCTTTGGAAAAAAAAACCTGTTGCTTTTGGTCTGCCTCCTTTATGGACTCCTTTATGTGTCCCTTGTCTCCTAGGGTGCAGAATTCTGTATGTTGAAAATCTTTTTAAATTTCAGAGCTGTGAAGATTCCTTCCCCAAATAATAGCAGTTGCTGGATCATCACTTAGCATATGGGGGAGGGGGAAAGAGGTGGGTTTCTACTAGAGAGACACCAGGAAAATGCTGAGAACATTAAACCAGTAAGAACAAATACAGGACTTGGCAAACCAAAGGATCCCAAATTGAATCAATTGTCCCGACAAGAGCACAACAAAAAAGCAATGGATGGAAACTAATCAAGGAGAGAACTAACCTAGAAATAAGGAGGAATTTCCTGACAATTAAATCAATGGAACTTCAGAAGTTGTGAATGCTCCAACATCGGAGGTTTTTAAGAAGAGATTTGGGCAACATTTGTCTGAAACGGTATAGGTTTCCTGCCTATAGTTGGACAGGAAGACCTCCAACGGCCTTCCAATGCCGTTATTCTGATTCTTCACTAGAGGACTTGGGAAGATGTCAAAGTGAAATGAGCCCTTTTTCTTATCTTGCTCATTTCCCATCTAACGACGTAGAGCGTTTTCTAGTTTCTAACCGTCATTACTAATGAGGACAGGCTTGAGGTCTGTTCAATAATGACATGGTCATACCACAAGATGCTGAAAATCGCTTCTTGTGAAATGGCCCGAGTCAAGCTGCAGGGTTAGAGTGTTATCGGACCACCGAAAATGGATTGAACGTGCTAATCAAAGAAACCCCCTCAGCTACTGCCTTAAAACACCCGAGAGCAATATGGTCCTTTTGACATGTGCTTCCACGCGCAAGCCTTAACAACAAGGACAGACCAGGATGCCCTTTCATTTCCTGGTTTTAACAGCCTCCTTGCACTGAGTGGAGAAGGAAGACATTATCAAAAAGATGAGGTGTAACAATTCACTTAATGTTCCTTATTGGCAAGGGAAGCAGATAGAAAAAAAACATTTAACGGTGTGTTTTCCATTACTGGCGGATCAATGGGGCTGCCATTTCCCTCTCTCAGTTCTATGGTGCTTGAAAAATCAGGTTGCTTCCCAAGATGTTCCCTGCTAAAGAAAATAAACCAAATAAAAACAAAAACGGAGGATTTGTGGTTTTGCATGTTTTTTAATGCATCTTCCATGTTCTGTGATGGTTTTGACCTATGAATTAGAAATACATCACATCGGTCTTCTTTCATTCTTTTCCCAACGCATTATGTTGTTTTTCATTCTTTCATCAATAACAGAATATTGGAAATAAATTGTGTAAAGGAGCTTGGGATTGTGTTTGTGTCAGCAAGGTAACCTTGCAAAAACAAATATTGGATGTGAGATGAGAAGCAAAGCACCAGGCTTGATGATACCGTAAACCAAATTCAACCAGAAGGTGCCGAGAAAAATTCCAGAGAATATTCCTCAGAGCATCGCTTACATTGGTCTACAAGGAGAAAGCCTCGGAAACAAAAGTAGCTTAATTTTACCAGAATTGGGTCACTAATAAAAGGAAAATTAAGTCCTGAGTATTAATTGGCTGCAGTTTCCAAGATCCAGCCTTCAGGTCAAAATTGCATCAAAATAATTCAAGATTATGAGGAGGATGTGTGATTATGCTCCGTAACTTTTCTGCAAAATGTGATACAGCAATGAGAACGGTGCCACGCCAATCATCATAAATTTATCTTTTTATTGATACCAATAACATGACTTTCCATTCATTTATTGGTTTTTCATGTAACATTTTCATGCTTTTTGCAGACAAACTGACAAGCTCTAACATCAGATTAAACTACAAGGTTCCATCTTCATTCAGTATCTAAACTGTGCTTTTTGGCTTTTCTCTTGTGAGCTGCAGTAGGATCATCCCTGGGGAGATTCCAGCAGTAATCAGCAAGCATGGACAAACTCCATTCCCCTTGGTAACTTTTTCTCCATGCCTGCAACATCGTGGTGGAATCTCTCCCCATGCTCATCACTCACTGCCGCACAGTTCAAAGGGAAATAGTTTAAATGCGAGTGTAAGAAGTGAATTTTCAGTGACATGTTTGTAAGGTAAAGGTAAAGGTTCCCCTCGCATATATGTGCTAGTTCCTTACTCTAGGGGGCGGTGCTCATCTCTGTTTCAAAGCTGAAGAGCCAATGCTGTCCGAAGACGTCTCCGTGGTCATGTGGCCGGCATGTCTCAATGCCAAAGGCGCACAGAACACTGTTACCTTCCCACCAAAGGGGGTCCCTATTTTTCTACTTGCATTTTT